ATATATATATATATATTTCTCCAAATAGATTTAAATTATATGCCTTTATTGCAGCTTTAAGACCCAAGATGTGCAGAAAGATCTGCAGATCAATACGATACTGTACATATGCCTTCTGTAATTTCTTTCACTTTAATAATAAATCCAACATGTACAAAAGTACTGTAGAAAAGAATCTTTAAATAATGTATATTTGTGTGTAATTAATTGTAGGCTTAGATTTAGAATTTAGAAAATAATGACATGCAAAAAAAAAACCCTTTAAAAACTTACTACTAAGAAGGCATTTCTGTGTTAAATCAGTTTATTATTAGAATTTGATTGGCACCTTTTAAACTGCCCCATTAATGCATGCCATTTTCATCATACCAGACTGGCAGCTAATTAGAGTACCTCACTGTTTTCTTAAGCGATGATTTAGCTAACTCTAAAAAGCCATAGGCCTGAAATGGGGTGGGGGAGAGGGCAGAGATGTTATAACATGATTCCTGATATACTGTGAAACTGTTTACAAAATTATCTTGTTTTTTTTTTAAATGTTAAACAGTGGAAGCATTTCATGCTTTGTTGGGTTGTGCAGCTAGACTTTAACTGTGTCTGATTCTTGTCAAAAGCAGGGATTCTTGTATGACATTTGTCATTCACAGGAGTTTGTCTGCATGCATGTGTGTGTGTGCTGATCTGTTATTTCCCGCTAAATGCAATACTTTTAGGAAGCATTGACTTTAAAACAAACACCTGTGTCATTTGAAACATGCTGGGGAAATGGAGCAGTTGTGTAAGCATTGGAGATTTTTGCATTTTATTTATAGCTCATTGGAAACCTCTTAAGCTGAAGTTTTATCTGAAAGAAAACTTCTGAATGGGCTACTGGGTTTCATTATTGTTCTAGAACTTTGTATTCTTCTGAATATTTTCATACCTAGACAATCTTTAAAAAGGATTGTCTCATGAGATACCACTCTATCAGCCTTGAACAGATATAGCTTTTGTATGTTAGCGAGCATAGTTTCTAAGCCTCATTCTATCATCTTTACTTATGAGTAGTGCCTTGCTTGACAGAATCAGATTCTTCCAATTGTTGATTACTGCAATTGAATTGACCCAAAATCTAAATATATATAATATAACTACCAGCATATGAGTCCATCCAGTCACTAAACCTGGTGAGACATGGTGAGCAACATCAAATGCCACTCAATTCACACTCAGATTGATCCCATTTTTAGCTCCACAGAAAATATTGTAAGCGTTTAAAAATTAATATTGTTATTCATTTGTATTAATTTTATCTCACTTCAGGTAGTCCTCAACTTACAACCACAATTGAGCCCAAATTTTCTGTTGCTAAGTGAGACATTTGTCAAGTGAGTTTTGCCCCATTTTATGATCTTTCTTGCCACATTTGTTAAGTGAATTACTGCAGTTGTTAAATTAGTAACACAGTTGTTAAGTGAATCTGGCTTCCCCATTGACTTTGCTTCTCAGAAGGTCACAAAAGGTAGTCACATTACCACATAAATATGAGTCAATTGTTAAGCATCTGAATTTTGATCATGTGACCATGGGGATATTGCAATGGTCTTCTGAAAAACGGCCATAAGTCACTTTGTTCAGTGCCGTTGTAACTTTGAACGATCACTAAATTCACTATTGTAAGTCAAGGGCTACCTGTATTTCTCTTTTTCCACAGGAGCTCAAAACAGTTTTCAAGAAAACAATAAAATATAATCAACAATCCTATAAATAAATATTTTTTAAAGCTAATGATAATACTAAAATACAGACTGGTCCCAAAACAGAGTGCTGTTTTCTTACAACCAACCAAGAATAAGCTTTTTATTACCATTTCAAATAATAAAGTATGGGAACTGTGGTACACTTCTTGGAACAATTGAAATTGGATCTCCCCACTGAGAAGAACTTGCTCCTAACCTATTAAACCATGACATGTCTTCTCAGGCAATGTTAGAGCACAGTTTCCATAACTTGGGAAAGTGATATTTTTAAGCATTTAGTTCATCTGATTTTGGTATCTTTGGGGGTAACGTAAGCTTAGATAGCTAACAATTTATTAAGCAACCATTACACCAACCTCTTATTCATTAATGAATAATAAGATTGTGTGGCAAGCCATCAATAAATTACTAGTTTAAAAGAAAACTTACCAAGAGATATATTAGTATTCCAGTCTCCAAAAAAAAAAAAAAATATTCCATAGCAATAATACTATTGACGTATCTTATCTGATTGACACCCATTGGCCTTCCTTCAGTATAATATTTGCAGCTATGCTTCCTAAGTCTGCCCCATGTCTGAAAATACATGGGAAATCATTTATGCTGAACCAGGGAAATGGCATATTTTTCATAGGGACAAACCTATGAATATATCTATATATAAATATATATAAACAAACCTATATATAAATCTAAGAAGCTTCTTATGGAAGTGCTCTATGGTCTGTAAAATGACACCCAAATTACTTCACAAGTAATTCACAAGTCAAGTGAGGTTAATCTAATGCTGTACCTTAAAACCATCCCAATTCTAATCATTTACACTTCAACCTTGCCATAGGACAGTTTTGAGCCATTTTCCACCATTTATCTGTTGCTGAATATTTTTACATAATAATATAATGATGCCTTGCTGAAGACCATATCTGCTGCTGGTGTAATCCAAATTTTTGTGCATTATGGAAAGGAAAGGAAATTGATTCATTAAATGCCACATAATGTTGTACTGCTACAGGAACTCAGTATCAGAAGTATACATATATATATATTTGCCATAGCTAGCAAGAAGAGTTCTAAAGATAAATTGCAGCCAACAAAATTCTTGTGGATGCCTCTTTCAACAGAACTAAAGCAGTCTGATTTACATTGACACGTTTATACCAAATAAGCCCCAATAAATTCAGTAGCCATCAGTCTTCAGAGTAAATAACTGCTTACTCAAAGTAAGGCTGGAAGAAAAAAAAGAGAATTGTGATTATAGAAAGCAATTGTTGGAATTCAACAGCATGAAGTGAACCAAACTGAGGCATTTCTGTCGAAAAAGAAAACTAAGGGCAGCTTTAGTTTTTCATTAATTCCTGCCTGGTCTGTGAATTTTTTAAAAATGGCATTAATCTTTTGTACAAAAATATAGCACCATTTAACATACATAACTCAGGTGAAATCTAGTGGGCAGGCAGAAATTTTTCACTGTGATAAATACTTCCCATTAATTTCACTGGACTGTGCTGATTTTCATTGGATGTAGTTACAGCTATTTCATGAACTGATTACTTGCAACCCCTAGAAGCCCTGCTCTCTTCTCGGCTAAGGATGCCCTACTGAATTGGACTGAATACCAGTTACCCCCATTATTTAGTGAATTTCAGAAGATGTTTTATTACAAGGTGACTCTATGTGACTTGCACTACTTTGACAATTCCCCAAAAGACATCTTGGTGTTCACTTTGCATAAGTAATGTTGAAAAGTTTTAACAGAACACATACACAATCGCGACTTTTTAAAAGTTAATCTTTTGAAATAAAAGCTATTTTCATTGTAGATAATGTGAATATATAGTTGCATCACTGTGTCAGAATATGCTGATTATTTTTGTATATATATATATATATATATATAGCTTTTCCTAACCCCATAATAACTCTAGAATTGTGTTGAGATGGGCAAAAAGGAGGCATACAGTAGATGGGTACCTGTCTCTATTTGATGTAACTATGTTGGATTCAGTAGGAATTTCATAAACACCAAAGTTAATTTACATTGATTGCATTATGAATTTTCCATTTTGGATTGGGGCACCTTTCTGTAGCCACACATAGGAGCAGAAGAGGATTCACATGTCAAAAAAGGTGTATAAATAACATATATATGTAAGAAAGAAACCATTTAGATTAAAAATCATATTCAACTTTAGGTGGAGTGGGATCAGAAGGCAAAAGGACATGATGATAACAATTTTTTTTTGTAATGTTAGTTTTGAGCATAATTCTAATTGCTCACACTTCCAGGCACAACTTTAAGGCCTCAGAATGAAGGGCTTCTCTAAAATGGCATAGTAATGCAATAAGGCCATTCATAAATAGCCTTAAAACAAAGAGGCTC